TGATACAATAAAAGCGGACTTCGACAGGAATCGCTGATTTTGCTGATATTAGCCAATCAAATAAAGGGGGAGGGGGGGTGTCACATGACCAGTCGATCCTAAGTTATTGTTTGCACAATTAATTGATTGGCAATGAATCGATATTTTCATGACGGCTACCCGATCAACTTTGAGCTGGGTGGCTGATCTACGGAGCCAAATCGATACAAATTAACCTCGAACCCTTGATCCACCAAGACCATGTATTGGCAAAGTCACGGCCCTTCGACCAATGCCATGCCTTCCGTATATGGGGAGTGCAAATCTGTAATCGGTGATTTTCATAGCTGCTTTACGACGGTTCCCGCTCGGCGCTGCTCTCGACGCACAAATCACCATTGGGCTTCATAGAGCGAGTGGATGCGGAGGCCTCTCGCAATGGGGGGGGGGGGGGGGGCAGTGGTGAGGGGGGGGACGCTCGTGGAGATGGTTTGCGGTAAAAGGTTTCTTGTAGATTTTTCTCAGAGGGAACGAGTGGGGGGGGGGGGGGGGGGGGTGTTGAATGCTGCCGATCGTCGAAGGAAGAAAAAAAATCTGGTAAAGATGCGAATGAAGACGCTTTGTAAAGAGAGTCACTTTAAGTCACTTTAAGATGTTTTCTTGTTCATTTTTTGTTTGTTGCGGTTGCACCCGATTCAAGAGCCGAATGGCTCACAGGGCTATACCAAATAAATTAACTTGAAACTTTAAACTAGTGAATGAAGACACCTCCCTGTACCCAATCCCGCTGTCGATCCTGCTCCCTTGTTGCACCCCTCCACTGGAATAAACTTCCCCTGTACATTAAGCAACACTGCCCCCCATAGACTCGACACTGCACAATAGACTCCGCACTGCCCATAAACTCAACACTGCCCCTGTACATGAAGCAGTCTCCCTCATTAACCTCCTCCTGTTCCCCTCTGAAAGCCTCACCTCGTCTCCATCGCCCCCTCCTCTTCCCTCCCCTGACCCCTCCACGCCTTTCCAGCCCTCCCCTATGGCCCTTTTGTGACCCCTGCCTACCCTTTGTTACAGACACTCAGTCCTCGCACTGCCCCTGCCATCTACATCACTGGAATTCGTTACCACTTTTTAAACTATGTAGAGTGCCTTCAGCTGAGGCGCTATATACATATAACGTAAGGTCAAGGAAATTAGGCAAGCCTTTACCGCCAGAGATGGAGGGGACGTCCAGTGCAGCTGGTCAAAGCAAGGGAATCCAGATGTAGCAGAGAGGAGGAGTGACATCCCGTTGAGCAGAAGTTATGACTGGAGGCTTTGATAGGAGGCCTTGGTTACTGGCAGCGAGTAGGGCACCTGTGAAAGGTGGGTGGAGTGAGGTTAGAGGTCATCAGGGACGGGTCCGCCGAGGAACTTGCAGACAGGTTGTATTGTAGTTGATCTGAGGGCAGCAGATTTGGAGCAAGTGGGGAGGGATCTGAAGTTTGGGATGGACGTGGTCTTGTTTATGGGTGCGCGTGACAAGGGCGTGACGGATGGTGGCTGTGTTCCGTATCGTTGGGATTCGTGACGTGCAGAATTTGCACCACATTGGCTTTAAAGTGATGCTTACTTGGATGCTCTGTAGTAGGATGGAGTTAAAGGAGTGTTTTATTTGGACTTCCTAAGCATGGACGGTGATGATGAACTATGATATTCGGTGGTGGCAGGTGGCGTCTGATGCGGTGCAAATCTTTGGTGGAAATGGCTTCAACAGCGAGTACCCCGTGGAGAAGCTGATGCGCGATGCCAAGATCTACCAGGTCAGCTGTCACCCGGCAAACGATTGTTCCTCCTTCATTCAAATATATCGCCTGGATAATCCCTCGATGTAGAATGTTGTCTGCAGCGGTGTCTTTTGACACGGCAAAAAAAACAACCACCATTTGCCACTAAGTGGTGGTGATGTCACCATGGCGCTTATGCCAGGCAATGTGCACTTTATGACCACGCGAAGTATCGAATGCCCGCCGGCAAGAGGTCACAGGACAGACCCAGGTGCCATGGGTTGACCGACTGAGATGACTGGCAGATGCGCCACCACATATGCAGCAAACCTAGTCTCACATGGGTTGGACCAGATGACGCCAAAAGGCGTCATCTGGTCCAACCCATCTCAGTCGGTCAACCCATGACAGCTTTCCTTAGAGACTAGGCTCTAAGGAAAGCTGTCTCGGGTGTGGACCAATCAACTTCAAGGACAGTGCATACATTATCAGAGTTATGTTTTTTGTTTGCATTATGACTGCAGGTATTGTGGTCTATGCAAACATGACTCCTTGTAAAAAAGGTGTCAGTTTTGTTGCCAGATAGAAGGGTAAAAAAACAATTATCATATTTTTTTACTGGCAAATGAGGTTCCAATGGTGTAAAACTTTCATCTTGCGAGCGACTGAAAACAGCCGGGGGGTGTATTCAATGGGCAGAGCGCTTTTCTGTTGAACGAACTTATAGCCCAGAGCGTGTCATCGTGCCAGCAACTAACAGCCCAGCCCGAGGAGCCGTGCCTCGCTGAGCGTTAGCCGTGAGTGTCAAAATCCAGCCAAATCGGAGGGCGCCGCTCCTTCCTGCGAATTCTCGCTTCTCTGCGGCAACGCCGCGCACAGTCATTGGCTGAGCGGGGGTTGCGTGGCGTCACCCGCCATTGCTTTCTGACGGCGTTCAACGTCAGAGTGAACGTGCGTGTCCGTAGCGCCACGGCAGAGCGCTGTGCCCGTCGAATGAACGCATCCCAGTGCGTTGGCTCATTCAAGCGTGCACTTCGGTTATCGCGCTCAACACGCTGTCAGCCGGAAACCTTCAGTCCTCCACCAGATGGAGCTCTAGAGAGAGAGCCCCTCGGGAGGGTATTTGGCATCTCCTTCTCAGCTGGCAAGACTTCTTGGACGAGGTGGGGGGGGGGAGTGCTCGGCTTTTACCCCACCGAACTCCACCTGCCGATCAACCGTTTGTGCTGGGTGGACAGAGGCGGGGTGGGATTTTAGAAACTTCCCCCCTCCCCCCCTCCGTTGTTTCACCACGGCAGCTCCCTCCAGCTTAGTGAACGCTTCGTAGACATCTTCTTGGTTCTTTCGGTAAAGTCACGTAGAAGGGAAGTAATAAAATAATAAAAATAAAACATAATAAAATTATTCTCACGACGTTTCGGCCACAACGCAAGCAGCCGTCCTCAGGTGAAAACCAGGTCCGTCGAGGCGACAGAGTCTGAATGAAACAGCACACGAGCTTGGAGCATATATATATAAGCTGCGCGCATTCACAAAGGAATTTGCATATCGTAGACAATTTAAATATTTGGCATTCACAATGTTGTTGCTTTTTTCCTCTTTTGGTGAACGTGACACGTTGCTCAAAGTGCTGTGGCGCTTCGCAACACAAGCACGGCTCATCTCATCTGCATCTCTTCCCTCTCCACAGATTTACGAAGGCACGGCTCAAATTCAGCGCCTGATCATCGCGCGTGAACACCTGGCCAAGTACAAGGCCTAGAGGAGCTCTGCACGGCTTCCAGTGGCGTGGAGATGAGATGACCACCGTTCCAAAACCGTCCCCACCACCGTTTCAGACGCAATCTGCAAACAAGCGCAATATTATTCATCTCTTGCTTGCCTCGGAACACCGCCTCATGTATAGATTTATTTTCTGGGAGGGCCCTGTCTGAAATGTTTGGTTGTTTCCTCCTTAAATACGTGCTTCCTGTAATTCGATGCACTTGCTTAAGTGGATGTACGGGTGAATTGGTCCAAGGTAAATCAAAGCTTTAGATGTGTTGCTTTTGAGTTTGCCATTCTGCAAACATGTTACTTTCCCGCTTGCTGGAATGTATTATTTTAGATTGTTTTTACAGTAAGTAGTGTCCTCAGCATACATATCCGAGTAAAAATGTTAAATATGCGTCACATCCTCTGGCTTTGGGGGCAACTATCATGATTTCTTTACTCGGACCATAAGGTTATATTTCATTTCATCAGGTTATGAACAAAACATTTCTGTCCACCGATTCACGTGTGTGTGTGTAGAACATCGACAAGTGCATCCATGCCTTGGTTAGTGTCTTGAAGGCTGGGCACCTGTGTGGGCAATTGTCACCTGCTTGGCGCGGTGGCCAGGTAGCAAGGTGGCTCTACGCACACACACCTGGCGGAGCGATACTACGGAGTGCCTTCCTTGCCAACTTGTGGGCCTTCGTCACGACTGTCCACTTGTCAATGCTTCGAACAAAAGGGATGCATCGCCAAACTGCCGAGGCCTTATACAATGCAGACTGTGTAGTCTCTCGATTTTAATTCACTTGTTTTTCATGTTCAATCGCCACGTTGATACCGTTTGTAATGGGCATCAATGTTGGAATAAACACATGGGAACATTTCCAAAAATGTCGTCGGCTGCTAAATCACCCTGTTATTGACAACACTGCAAACACACTTTTTGGGGGGTATTTGGTGGAAATTCCACATTACTATGGCAGGAGCCAGCAGCCACGGTGAGTTGTCTCACGATGCATGTGCAGCCCTATCCACTGCTGTATGAGGGCCTTCCTACCCCATATGTCGCTCATGGGGGTTATTTGTCCATACTTTACCACACTGCTCAGTGTGGGTTTAAGGTACACGCCATAATCTCGGGGAGCATAGAAGTACATTACAATTGATTTTGCAGCACTGCCCTTTACTGTACACCGTTGCCCAATGTATAAATCGCTGCATTACGGCAGAAACGAGATACTGTATAATAGCTATACCCAACAGGCAAATGTTCTGGGCAATGCGCCCTGCACAGTGAGGGTAAGAGGTAACCTGCTTTGCTGGGGGAGGAGCGTGGTTTGTGACAAGGGGTCCGGGCAGTCGGGGTTGTCTTGATTTGTATGTTGGACTTCTTTGGCACCGTACATAGCCCGCACCTCCGAAGAGCACGGTGGGCAAAGGATGATAAACTTGACGCAACAAGCAAGTGACGCCAGAGCATTGAGCTTAAAGGAGTGAACGTCACGGACCTCGCACACCAGCGAGTGTCCCCTTTATTGAGGGCCCACACTGGGATACAATACACTTGTAACTATACACGTGACATAAAAACTAAAACTTACGTAAAAAAAAAAGATTGAGAAACACTTTTTTCACATCTCGTGCCCGAAGTCGTCGGTCACGAACTCCCCGACTCTCATGTATGGATCCCCGACTCTCCTCTGGCGCTGCCCGAGTCCCGGCCTGAGGCTCGACTCGCGGCTCCGTCCCTGGGGCCTCGCGTGCACCGTGGCCGACTACACGGCCAGTGACACGGCCAGTGGGGCCAGTGGGGCCATTGGCACCACCTCGTGCCCCTTGCGCACCGGCACGCCGAATCGAGGCCAGCAACACGACTCGCGCATAATGCCGACGAGACGATCCGAGAGAGAGAGGAGGGGGGGGGGGGACGCTCACGCGGTCGTCACGGTGGCAAACGCGGAGACGGCCTGGGCAGCGGTTACTACAGAAACGGGCCTGGGCAGTGGTTGCCGCGGAAACGGCGCGGGCAGCGGTTGCCGCGGAAACGGCGTGGGCAGCGGTTGCCGCGGAAACGGCGCGGGCAGCGGTTGCCGCGGAAACGGCGCGGGCAGCGGTTGCCGCGGAAACGGCGCGGGCAGCGGTTGCCGCGGAAACGGCGCGGGCAGCGGTTGCCGCGGAAACGGCGCGTGCGCTGCTAGGCGGTGAGCTGGTCGCAGTGGCGCCGCTGTGCGCGCGGTTTGATGGCGAGCGAGAGCTCGTAGAGAGACTCCTCGCCCAGGCGCGCCGTGAAGCCGTCGAAGCACGAGAGCACCGAGTCGACGCGCTGGAACTCGTAGCGGCTGCGTCGAGACACGGGGGGAGGAGGGGGAGACATTTGCACGTTAAGGTGTGTGAATCCCCATTTGTGTGCGAGTCCCCGTGTGTGTGTGAGACCCCGTGTGAGTCCGTGTGTGAGAGTCCCTGTGTGTGAGACCCGGTGTATGTGAGTCCCTGTGTGTGTGTGAGACCCCGTGTGTGTCCGTGTGTGTGATCGTACCAGTGCAGGAAGGTACGCAAGCTCTGCAGGATGTTGAACTGCTGCCAGCGCTTGGAGAAGTTCACTCGGCCGGCGATGAGATCTGGGTTCCCCATGTGCACGAACGTCAGATCCTGCAGGATCAGCCCGCTGCTCGTCAACACACAGACACACGCACGGACACACACGCACGCACGCAGGGACACATGCACGGACACACACGCACGCACATGTGTGTGCGCACACAATCAAAGTTAATCAATATGATCATTTCTAAACGTAATTATTCACAATGAGAATCAGACTCTTTATTTATACTGGAGGAATCCGATGAGCTACAAAGCTCTTTTTCACAGATGTCCAGTCGGGGCACGGGGTGAGAACGTCACAACAACAAACAACACAAAACAGGACAAGTGCAAAGTATAGGCAAGGTAAACAAGTCACTTAAAAGTTTTTACAAATAAAACGAAACGAATTTTTTTTATCTCATCAAGTAAAGCCCACTGAGCGATTAGCTTATTTTTCAGAAGCGACTGGCCACAAATGTTAGCTCAACAAAGTGGCTTCTCACGTGGACATTTATAGCAGCAGCAAAATAGTCAAGATAACAATGTGTAAACGTGCTTGCATACAAAAACTGAATCAATTGACCTCTGAACAGCATTAAACGCAGCAAGGTCTTGAACACAAGCCAGATTAAAACACAAGCCGGCGTGAGTAGGATAAACGTTGAGTTTTATAAGGGCACCACGGGGTGACCAGCCCCTCCCCACCCAGCCCCACCCTCCCCACCCAGCCCCACCCTCCCCACCCAGCCCCACCCTCCCCACCCAGCCCCACCCTCCCCACCCAAGTGGAAAAATCCACTTGCACGCGCAGTCATGCACACACGCGCCGGAGCGCGCGTACTCACAGGTAGGGGAGGCACGGGGGTTGGGCCTTCTCCAGGGCCGAGCGGTAATTGGAAAACGAGCCCGAGCTGTCAATCAGCTGGCGGAACTCTGCCATCGTCTGCATCACAAACGCACAGACACAGACGTGAACCCACGTCGCCCAAATCCCACAGCCACCTTTGTGTACGGATTGCTTACATGTAGCGATACGTGATGCACATGTGCATTTGGCAATGAGTCTGTGTATGGATGTGTTCTTGTGCGTGTGCGTGGGGAACGGTAGTGCAGCGGTTAGCAAACCCGGCGACCCGGGTTCGATTCCCGCTCACGGCCAACCGCAGTGATGATCATCTGAACCGGTCCTGGGCCTCCCCTAGGTCGGCTCGGCTTCAAATGAAAACCTGGTGTTGTGTGTGATCATTGTCACCGGGGAGACGTAGGCGGCCGGGCGTCGTGTCGGGCACACACCCCTCATAGGTGCTCGCAAACAGCACTTGCCCCAACTGTCTGTTACAGGCTATATGGGGGATCTGTGTCTTTGTGTACGAGAGTGTGTGTACGTGTGGTTCGGTGGTGGCTGTGCATGTGGCCTGTAATCCAGCACTGGCAAGCGAGGACTTGGTGGATCACACAAATGGTGCGAACTTCCTTCCCGTGGGCAGTGAGGTTTGCCGTACCCTGACTTGCAAAGGGGAGAAGGCGGTATTACAGCAAGTGGGCCAACCTCCATCTGTTTCCACCCGTATGGGGATACAGCATTGCCCCCTTGCGTGCGTGAGATTTCTCCGCGTGCCCCGGTATCCTCACACGCATAAAAACACTCATCATTCATTGGCTGAAACCAGCACCTCCGTTAAGCACGGTTGGCTACGTACGGTGCGACATAAGTTCAACGTGCATACAACATACATGCATTTAAGTAAGAACCCAATGTGGGGGCAAGGACCCTCCTGACAACGGAACCTGGGAGTCGGGCGTGGCTTTTCTGGGTAAGTTGTTATTGTTGTTGTTGTGGCTGTTGTGGTGATGATGATGATGTGGACAAGCGCTTGCGTGCGGGACCTCAGTGACACTCTTTGGCCACGTCAGGCGGGCGATGGCCGAGGCTTCCAGTGCGGACAACAACGCCAGGTACGAGTTGTAGTTGTTGAGGCGCCGCAGGTGCTGGACACGCACAAAGACAAAGACCCCCCCCCCATGTAGCCGTTACAAGACCGTTTGCGGCAAGTGCTGTCAGCGATCACATATAAAAGCCGGCGTGGCACGTGAAGGGGTGGGGTTGCCAGCACCACACCCAGCCACCTTTGTCTCACAAGTAGTGATGTGTACACACAGCACCAGATGCTCATTTGAGGCCGAGTCAACCTAGGAGAGGCCCAGGACAATTTCAGAATCTTCACCGGGGTTGCCAGGTTCGTATAACAGAGCACTAACTGCTCCACCTCCGCTCCCCCACGTACATATGAAGTACCGGTGAAGACACTTGACGCCGAGGTGGAGGCACACGTATATTTATTTAACACAACTCGGGTTGTGACATACAGCACTGGAGGGGGTAGCGGCCCCCTCACCCGACTAGCTAAGGATACTCTTCCTAGCTAGTCCTAGCCTGCCTCACAGTCCTCCACTATTTGGCTAGGGGAGGCTACTTGGCCCGACACTGGTAAGTCGGGCCCGGTACCCGGAGTCCCAGACCAGCTCTTAGAAGAGCACCGGCTCTGGCTCTCGGGACCACGCCGCTGGCTCAGTCCTGTTCGGCCCTGACAAGGACATCGAACGAGGGGAGTCCAGGGCTCTATCTAAGACGTCTTCAGTCTTCTTGGTTAGCTTTTAACATAACTCTCTCGAGCCCCTATAACGTCCCCTTTTATACCCAACCCCTCCTTGAGGGGTGGGGCCCCGGGGGATCATAACGCCAAACCAGCCCCCCCCAGGGTGTCTGGCTCGGACGTCGCAGAGGGCATCTCCCTGTGCACACACGTAGCCCCGCCCACTGTGTTTGTTTCCCATAGACTGCCATACATAACGGGCCCTCTCTTTAACACTCCTACATCACCCCCCCCCCCCCCCCCGCATAGCTCGCAGCCGTCCCGGCTGCCAACATACAAAATGACAATAAAAATGAATTTATACCGTAACCGCGCGTGTGCCTCACTAATTTTCAACAATAACAAGAACGGCAACAAGAACACAACAAGATGCAACAGCAAGAAGAGAAAACAACCCGACGCACCCCCCCTTGAATAAATACGAATTCCGTAAAAAAACAAGCTATATACAATTTGCAGGGAACCCACCATACACACAACACCAGGTGAACCCAACGTATGTACATTTCAATGGGCAGGGAACACACCCCCCACACAACACAATGAACACAACCTATATACACATCTTCCGGTCTCACAACAGTCTGCGCATTTTTGCGCGCGTCCTTGCAGCGGGCCCCTCACACGGGGTAACCCCGGGTGGCGGACCGTCAGGTGGTAAGTGTCCGTCCCGGAGTGGGACCTCCTCCGATGCCGCGTGACCGTTGGTATCCCCAGAAGGGGTGGTCGGGCGTGAGCCCGTCAGTCTTGATGCACCTGGAGGTGGCACGGCCGGCAAGGCATTAGGTGAGAACGGCGGAGACGGACCCAGTGAGTCGGTCGACCCCCCACACGTTTGGCCACGCATGTGTGAAGTGGGTTTGTGTACCGCAACGAAGGGCTTTAACCTAGAGGGGTGCACGAACCAACGCCGCTTCCCCCATTTAATGCGCACGCACTGTGGTCGCAAAACTTCGACCACCTCCACAGGGCCCCGCCACGGCCGCACTAGCTTAGGGGAGGTAGCCAGGGGCACTTGGGGACAGTGCAACCATGCCTTGTCCCCTGGCTTCCACTGTATCACGTGCGCCCGACCCAGCCTGAGGCGCTCATTCGCCTTTTGCCGGAGTTCCGAGTTCAACATAGCAGCATCCCGCGCCTCTGTTAATTTGGCCAGATTAAATTTGGCGTGGTCAGCCAATTTAGTTTTTCCTTGCGGGTCGGGGATCTGCAGCTGGGCGCGAACAGGCGGGTCGGGTTCGCGACCGTACATGAGGTAAAAGGGGGAAAATCCCGTAGCTGCATGGGGTGCCATCCGGTATGCCGCCAAGACCCCTTGAATATGCAGGTCCCAATCAGTCTGCGAATCTGAGACCTGCTGTGACATCATTGACGAAATGGTGCGATGCAGGCGCTCGACCATTCCGTCAGTCTGCGGGTGATACGGGGAGGTCCGAATTTTCTTTGTGCCTAAGAGGTCACAGACTTGTTTAAGTAATTTACTGGAAAAATTTCTGCCCTGGTCGGTCAGCAGCCGCTCCGGAGCACCTTTGTCCAGGACGTATCCCTGAACAAAGGCCTCCACGATGGCTGCTGCCGACTGGTTGGCAAGGGGCCAGGCCATAGGCCAGCGCGTAAAATACTCGACACCTGTCAACAAATACCTATTGCCCCTGGGAGTGGCGGGAAATGGGCCCAAAATGTCCAGCGCAACAAGCTCATTTATTCTGGATACCTTGATCGATTGCAAGGGCGGGTTAGACTCCCGCGCCGGCGGTTTCCGTTGCGCACATCGAGGGCATGATCCCAATAGATCCCCAACATCCCTCGTCATACCAGGCCAAAAAAAATCAAGTTGTAGCAGTGCAAGCGTCTTTTGGGTCCCCAGGTGTAATAGGCGCTCATGCGCGGCCCACACCACCTTGCCTCGCAACTCAGAGGGGACCACCAGCCGATGTCGCTGGGATTTGCCGTCCCAATGCATGAGCAGACCTTTCACCATTTGCCATGCATCTGAATCACCTTTCACCCGCCCAGCACCCCCGACGCGACGACGCCACCCGAGGAGGGAGGTATCCTCCATTTGGAGGCGCCCCCATTCAGTGACGGGCAACCCCAACAGGGAATCTCTTCCCTGTTGTTCGATCGAATTATTAGGCAGGGGTTCGTCGTCGTCGGTGGCTGCCAAGATCGGAACCGATGCGTCCCCTGAAGGCCTGCAACGTCCCGACCCCAGGAGGCATGCACATTCCGAGGTGGTTGGCATGCGCGACAGAGCGTCCGCGTTGGTATGGCGAACGCCCTTACGGTAGGTGGTTGCAAAATCAAAGTCCTGGAGAACCTCCAACCATCGAGACAACTGTCCCGATGGTTGTTGAACTCGCAGGGCATACTGTAGTGCCGCATGATCTGTGCGGACGGTGAAATGCCGACCGTACAGATATGGGCGATACTGTTGGATGAAGTAAACAATTGCCAACAGCTCCCTACGGGTTACACAATATCTTTGCTCCGTAGGAGACAACACCCGACTACCGTACGCGACCACCCGTTCCACGCCATCAACCACCTGGGAAAGCACACCCCCAATACCCGTGTTGCTCGCATCGGTGTCGAGCAAAAAGGGCTTAGAAAAATCTGGGTAGATCAAGGGAGGGGCTTTTACCAGGGCGTCCCGAAGGGAGCAGAAAGCAGCCTCCTCCTCTTGACCCCAGTGGAACCGAACCCCTTTTGATGTTAAAGCGTGCAGGGGTTTTGCAATTGTCGCAAAATCAGCAACAAACCGTCGATAATACGACGCGAACCCAATGAAACTCCTGACCTCTCCCACCGAGGTGGGAGTCGGCCAGGAGCTGACACACTGCGTTTTGGCGGGATCGGTAGCAATACCTGAGCGTCCCACGATGTGCCCCAAATAACGCACCGAATCGCGCAACAAATGGCATTTTTGGGGCTTGAATTTCAAATTAGCAGCCCGCATCTTTAGGAAAACCGCCCGCAACCTCTGGAGATGTTCGTCAAAAGTTTTACCAAAGACGATAACGTCATCCAAATAAATGAGGCACGACTCCCATTGCAATCCAGCCAAAACCAATTCCATCAAACGCTGGAAAGTTGCCGGCGCTGAGTGTAAGCCCATCGGCAACCGGTTGAATTGGAACAGGCCGTGCGGTGTACGGAAAGCAGTTTTAGGCTTAGAATCATCGTCCAGAGGAAGCTGCCAGAATCCCGAAAGTAAATCTAGTGTGGAAAAGAATCGCGCTCCCGCCAAGGCGTCCAGCGATTCATCCATCCGAGGGAGCGGGTATGCGTCGGCAATCGAAATTTTGTTAAGACGCCGGAAGTCAACGCAAAACCACAACGAACCGTCCTGCTTTTTAACCAGGACGATCGGCGCTCCCCAAGGGCTGGTGGAAGGAGAAATGATGTCGGCGGCTAACATGTCATCAACAGCCGATTTGACATGTTCCTTTTCGGCGGGACTCAACCGAAACGGATTTTGTCGAATTGGCGCGCTGTCACCCGTGTCAATGTGGTGACGCAGCAGGTGAGTACAACCCAAATCGTATTTATTCCGGCTAAAAACGTCGGAAAATTCCCGCAGTAGCGTTTTAAGTTGTTGACGCTCTGAATCTGACAGGTCCGTCGATCCCGCACAAAGCGCCTCGAGCCACCCTTCATCGTTGTCCGAATGTGGTCGCGACGCAGGGACAGTGCTGGCGTGATTTACGACGGATTCCTCACAAGGCACCGGCGTTGCGTGAGCAAGCACGGTCCCCTGTGGGATCACCACCGTCTGCGAGCCCACATTGAGGACCGCGATGAAGGGTTCACCGTCCCCTCTTACTATGGTCTGGGCCGGGAGTAAATGAGGTCCACTAACCCCGGCCCTAGACGGCCCCAACAGAACCCCTTGGGCCCCAATACCCTTAGCGAAGGGCCGCCGAAGTTTCAAAGGTATCAACATTTGCGCCCCCGGAGGGACGCGCACCGTTCTCTCTACGAACGCCGGCACCGTCGCGCACGCCGTCCGAGTCGCAGCCGGTGATGGCAGAAACGCCATGCGTCTGCCCGACGGAAGCTCTATACATCCCTGGTCGATCAGTATCCTAATCGGCATTTTGGCCAGGAAGTCCGTCCCCAGCAGGCACGGAACCGCCAGCGAGGAGGAAACAAAAATCGGGCCGGACAATTTAATTTCCCCAATACAAATTTGGGCACGAATTTGTCCGATGATGCCAAGTGAGCCCCCGTTAGCCGCATAGAATGGTATGTTAACAGGCATCAAAGGACGACTCCGGACAGGGAGAATATTGTAAATCAATTCCGAAATAATAGTCGCCGATGCTCCCGTATCGACCAGGATGCGCACTTCAACCCCGTCGATGTACCCCACAACGGCCGACGACCCCGACGACGCGGCTACCACACGATCGACCAGCACGGACCACTGGGCGGGTTCGATATGAGTACCCGGGGTGGTGCGTGATGGTGCGATGGTGCGCGATACCGGCCCCCCTCTCGTTGCGGTGTTTGCGTGCGTGACGGGTGTGTGTGTGGGCCAAACGTGTGGGGTGCCGCGACTCGCCGGTTTATGATGGTGGAGCTTGAGATGAGGCCCGTCGTCCCGTTGAGGTGTCGTCCCGCGCTGACGAGGAGAGCGGCACCCCGAGGCGACGTGGCCCCAGACGCCGCAGTTAAAACACCGCGGGAGCGGCGTCGGAGGTGACGGGTGGCCGGAACGGCCCGACCCGTCCTGGCCCGGCCGTGCTCCCGTCGCCTGTTGCCGTCGGTGGTCGACGGCGTAGAGTTCCTCCGTCGGAAGGGTGGCTGCAGCCACCGCACGCCCCGCCGATGCCCTGCTGGCTTTCCGCCGGAGCGACAGGAGGTTTGCGTGGAGGAGCCGCGCCGCCTGGAGCGATGTCATTTCCGCGTCCTCCTGTGCGACCACAGCGATGTCAAGGTCGTCAGCCAGGAGGAGTATTTTCTCCGTCACCATAGCGTCGATGCCGTCGTCATCCATACGGGGGAAGGCCGACTTGGCCATCGCCAGGAGGCTCGTTCGGTACGCCAGGGGCGACTCCTTCTCACCCCGCTTGCGGTCGTAGAATTGCTGTCTGCATTCAGCCGATGGTCCGTAGACCCCTCCCAGCAGCTGCAGCGCCATCGGTAACGTAGCCCGCCTCTCTCTTGGCGCCGACGTGAGGGCGGCGAGCGCGTCGCCGTCGAGGAGCGCCGGCAGCGCGCAGAGAGCCTCCTCGTCGGACCATTTCGCCATCTCCTGATGGGCGAGGAAGCGTCTGCGAAAGCCGGCCCAGTCCCCCTCCGCGCCGACGAACTCCTTCAGCGGGGGCAGCCTCTGATGGAGCGCAGCGGTCGTTGTAGATTCCCGCGGGCAGATGTCACCTCCACTCGGCTGTGCGTCGGTGCGAGCGGCCGATGGGATCGCCTGTCGCGGTGATGATGACGTCGCAGCTTCAGCGACGGCGATGCCGGAGTGGATGTGTAGGCTGGCCACGCCCCGAACAGCTGCAGCGTCGATGGCGGGAGTTTCAAACTCGGGCTGCTCCGAAATGGCGGGAAGGCGCCCTGGTCGTTGGCCCGCCTCGCCCCGTGTTGAATCACCGGCCCCTAGCCGCGTGATGGTCTCCAGCGTGGCGGCAGCGGCATATAGCAGCTCCGCCAGCCTCCCGTGAGCCAGCCGCAACGCGTCTGGCTGTGGTCCTTCTTCACTCAGATGCCCCGGTAAGGAGACATCAGGCCCCGGCTGCACCATGGCTTGTGTAGCCGTCTCGGGTTCGACGATCTCGGCAGTATCTTCCTCTTGCGGTACTTTGGCCCGTGCTGTCTTCCGCGTGTCCATGTTCGAATTACTTCTGACACCAGTTGAAGTTCCGGTGAAGACACTTGATGCCGAGGTGGAGGCACACGTATATTTATTTAACACAACTCGGTTTGTGACATACAGCACTGGAGGGGGTAGCGGCCCCCTCACCCGACTAGCTAAGGATACTCTTCCTAGCTAGTCCTAGCCTGCCTCACAGTCCTCCACTATTTGGCTAGGGGAGGCTACTTGGCCCGACACTGGTAAGTCGGGCCCGGTACCCGGAGTCCCAGACCAGCTCTTAGAAGAGCACCGGCTCTGGCTCTCGGGACCACGCCGCTGGCTCAGTCCTGTTCGGCCCTGACAAGGACATCGAACGAGGGGAGTCCAGGGCTCTATCTAAGACGTCTTCAGTCTTCTTGGTTAGCTTTTAACATAACTCTCTCGAGCCCCTATAACGTCCCCTTTTATACCCAACCCCTCCTTGAGGGGTGGGGCCCCGGGGGATCATAACGCCAAACCAGCCCCCCCCAGGGTGTCTGGCTCGGACGTCGCAGAGGGCATCTCCCTGTGCACAAACGTAGCCCCGCCCACTGTGTTTGTTTCCCATAGACTGCCATACATAACGGGCCCTCTCTTTAACACTCCTACACATACACAGACACACAAAGATATCCCCCGTGTAGCCTCAGCAGGCTGTTGGGGCAAGTTCTGTTGGCGAGTAGCACCGACGAAGGCCGGCACGGCACACGAAGGGGGGTGGTGGGTTACCAGCACCACGCTCGGCCACTTTTATCTCCCCAGTGGCGACGTTTACGCACCGCAACAGCCACTCATTTGAGCCGACGTCGGGGATACCCAGGAGGTGGTTCAGATATTCACCACCGCCTTGCCACAAGAAGAAGTGGACCAATCAACTTCAAGGACAGTGCATACATTATCAGAGTTATGTTTTTCGTTTACATTATGGCTGCAGGTATTGTGGTCTATGCAAACATGACTCCTTGTAAAAAAGGTGTCAGTTTTGTTGCCAGATAGAAGGGTAAAAAAACAATATTCATGCTTTCAAGCTATCAATTCTGGTTCAGTGATTCTGCACTTGCTCTATTACTATAGTACTATACCGCCTTCAACTTTTATGAACGACAGGGTGTTTAAGGTGAGCGATTTGTCGTATTATCTGGCTGTATAGCAAATGAAAAAATACAATTACTTTACTGTGCAAGTAAAACATTTGTTTTAATATTTACGTGTTTTTTAAATTATATTTAGGGCCCCTTTACAGCATATGCTACAGGCCCCGCACTAGCTTAAAGTGGCACTGTGAAGCCCCCTGACCTTCATAATCTTGAGGAACTTGTGGGCGAGCCGCTCCCTCTCCGACTGCTTGTCGGCCTGGATCAGTACGGTCTGCGCCCTGCACGGCACCGCACGGCACGTCAACGCACGCACACATTCTCCGGCACGCGCACGGACAAAGATCCCCCGCGTAGTCTTAACAGACTGTTGGGGCAAGTGCTGTTATAGCAAGCAGCGCCTAGTAAGGCCGGGGGGGGGGGGGGGGGGCAGCAACCACGCCCGGCCGCCTGTGTATCCCCTGTGGCGATGTTTACACATACGCACCGGTTTCTCATTTGAGGCTGAGTCGACCCAATGGAGGCCCAGTACCGGTTCAGATTATAATCGTCACCGGTGTTGGCCGTGAGCGGGAATCGAACTCGGGTCGCCGGGTTCAAAGTGCAGCGTAGCGCGCTAACCGCTGCACCACCGCTCCCCACGCACACACACGGACTCACAGCCTCACCCGCCACGGACTCGCGGTGGACTGTTCAGCGGTTGTCTCAGTACTGCTCGCAGGTACTACCGCAGGTACTACCGCAGGTACTACCGTCACCAGCAAGCACTACCATGGCCGTTGCAAGAGGCTTTGCAAACAGACAGCAGAGAAGGGGTTTGGTGGTGACTTTTGGGATGTTATTTTTTTTTACAAGTTGCCGAGCACAGCCGCCGGCCACAAACAGCGCCGTCGAGGTAAAGAGTTCACGCATTTCTTGAATTGAGCAAGGCTGCCGCAGCAAGAGCTCGGGCGTTCGACACTTCACGTGGCCTTAACGGGCACATGGCCTGGCACAAGCGCCATGGTGACATCACCGCCACTTAGTAGCGAATGGCGGTTGTTGTTGTTGAGTGAGTGAGTGTGTGAGTGTAGCCAGATCGGTGGGGGAGTGAGTGAGTGTGGCTATGTCGGTGAGGGAGTGAGTGAATTGATAAGTGTGTGTATGAATGTGGTCAGGTAGGTGAGGGAGTGAGTGTGTGAGTGTGGCCCAGGTAGGTGAGGGAGTGAGTGGGTGAGTGTGTGTGGCCCAGGTAGGTGAGGGAGTGAGTGATGGTGTGTGTGTGTGTGGCCCAGGTAGGTGAGGGAGTGAGTGAGTGAGGGAGTGAGTGTGTGTGTATGGCCCAGGTAGGTGAGGGAGTGAGTGAGTGAGTGTGTGTGTATGGCCCAGGTAGGTGAGGGAGTGAGTGAGTGAGTTTGTGGCCCAGGTAGGTGAGGGAGTGAGTGAGTGAGTGTGTGTGGCCCAGGTACCAGTAGGACACTGCGTTGAAGTGCTCCGTAAACCGCGTCAGATTTGGACTCTTCTCGTCGTTCTGGTCTTTTGCCCAGAGCAGCACCTCCGGGATCTAAGAGACACAGCGAGCACACAGGCAGGTCACGCGGTGACGTCACACACTCAGCGAGCACACGGGCAGGTCACGCGGTGAAGTCACACACTCAGCGAGCACACGGGCAGGTCACGCGGTGAAGTCACACACTCAGCGAGCACACGGGCAGGCCTCGCGGTGACGTCACACATGCAGCGAGCACACGGGCAGGTCACGCGGTGACGACGCACACGCAGCGAGCACACGGGCAGGTCACGCGGTGACGTCACACACGCAGCGAGCACACGGGCAGGTCACGCGGTGACGACGCACACGCAGCGAGCACACGGGCAGGTCACGCGGTGACGACGCACACGCAGCGAGCACACGGGCAGGTCACGCGGTGACGTCACACACGCAGCGAGCACATGGGCAGGTCACGCGGTGACGACGCACACGCAGCGAGCACACGGGCAGGCCACGCGGTGACGACGCACACGCAGCGCGATGAGACACTCAATCCAGAGTCACGCACAAGGCAACACCCAACTCCACTCTGTCACCATACCAGTCAACCCAAACGGTTTGCCCGTATTCATGTACAGGGAGTTTTCAGGTCCATATGGCGTAGAGCCGTTTCAATACGGGCAAAATTTGTTTTCATTTGTTTGTGTTTCTCCCTTGTGATGGGGCTTTGTAAGATGAACGTTGAGATTTATAATGTGTGTGTGAGCAATAAGGTCTGAATTGGTCTGTAATGAGGTAGGCACTGATAAGGGGCTGACAGGTAAGTCAGTTTAACGCGTAGGCTTTCACGACCAATATCATCCATGATACAGGTTTTGGGTTAGATCTGGCTGTCGCCTGATGAAGCTCGTTGTAATTACTGGCGAAACGTCGTACTCAGATTGTAAATGTTGTGGCTTTGCTCTCCAACACACCGGTGTTGCTGTACTAGTGACGAATTGGCAGGTTCTGTTTACGTGACAACCCTTACTAATTGGCTGTGCCGGGTGGTGGCGGGTTTAACGACACATTTATATATTTACGCGATCTAACCCAAAGAATCCTGTATTATGGATGACATGTGTGTGTTACAAAACTCAACACACTCGCCAATAACCCTGTGGCCTTAAAAGGGAACATCGCATAATGGGCGACGTTTCAGGTAATGGCACTTTATTCTTTTTCATAGCACATGAAGAAGACGGACCATTGCTTGAAACATCGCCAATTATAGATTCGGGCATATTAGCTTTTTTTATATTAATGTTGTTATGTAATTACTAAGAGAAGTTCTCGCATATTCTGTTGATCTGGTCAATGGTGACGTGGGAGGCTACAAGCTTTCCACTCACCACGCACGCAGCTCCCAGCGCTCTCGTGTTACACACACACACACCGAGCAAAGGCTCTCTCTGCATCCAGCAGTGGCTAGATCATGCCTGATGATGGTGGTTGGCCTAATGTCGGTGAACGTCAATTGGCGTTGGGCCAAACACTGGGCCAACGTCAACTCGCGTCCATTGCAAACTTTGCTTTAAAGGCGTTGCCCTTCGCAGGCCAACTCTAACCAATGGACGAGCACCTCCCGGGAAGCGAGCCGCAGCCGCAGTCACCGGCTGTGACTTCTGGGGCTCATCGCATCACCACGCCGCACATCCGCGGACGGAGCCACGCGCGAACCACCACAGAGAGCTTCGGTTTACCTCGATTTTTTGTAACAGCTCAGAGTCCAACAGAGTGAGCTGCTCCGCCAACTCAAGGCTGCGGAAGTCGTGGACCGAGGCCGGTCTAAAACGCACGGGCACACGAGCGCACACATACACACACACACACATACACACATGCACACATGCACACACATGCACACACATACACACATACACACATACACACAAGCACACATGCACACACACACACATGCACACATACACACACACACACATACACACAAGCACACATGCACACACACACACATACACACATACACACATGCACACACGCACACACACACACGCGCAGGTACAGCACATACGCATTACTACACCTGAGTGTTGTTCATGCACCTGCAATTATCACAATTGGCTACGCACTGTGCGAAAGAAGTTGAACATACATTCATACTGCAATCAGATTACTATCGGCAAGTCCCGATCATCCTGTCTTCATGCTCTGCGTGCAGTGTGTCATCAGATTAGCTTTATTTAACGAGTGCCAATTACTTTAAATGATGACTTTTACAGCAGAGTGATTCCCAAAAAAACGGGGCTTGCGTTGCGATGACTGGCGCACAGAGATCACCGAGCGAAGGGCCAGGTGTGGGGGAATTTGGACGTTGGCTGTGAAGCGGCGACGTGAATTCTTCATAGACATTGGCTGCCGCCTGCTGTATATTTGGAGTTGCATGTTCCCTCTCTCTCTCTCCCCGTGGTTGCGTGGATTTTCTCTGGGTCCTCCGTGTTTTTTTGTTTCACCAATATATTAGGTGCAACAGTGGTGAGATGTTAACTACCTCGCTTGGTATACAGGAGGTCGTGGGTTCAATCCCAACCCTGACGTCTGTATATTTGGAGTTTGCATTTCTCTCTCTCGCTGTCGTCGCGTGGATTTTTCTCCGGGTCCTCCGGCTTTCCCCTCCACATTTAGATCAATATCATGTGTTTAGATTCTTCGGCAGCCCTACATTTCCACACGATAAGCCACTTCGTTTAGCTGATCATCTGTGATAGCCAGGTCGCTTCTGTAAAAGAGCTCAAAGCTCAGTGGGCCTTACCTGGCAAAATAAAAAATAGTTCAAACAAAATAAAAACAGAAGACGGCTTTTCCTGCCCGAACTCCGAGGAGGCAACTTCCCCCATCCTGCCCCTTCCCCCCTACGTCCCCCATGCCCAAGACAAACTCGACAACCCCCCTCTAGCATCGCGCCGCTACTTCCGAGAGTAAATAAAATGCCACGCGTCGCGCGAACGCCACTCGGAGACATTTACCACGGCGTGCGTGGGCGTGCGTGTGCGCGCGCGTGAACGTGGGCGTGCGTGGGCGTGCGTGTGCGTGGGTGTGCGTGCGTGGGCGCACGTGCGTGCGTGAGCGTGCGTGGGCGTGCGTGCTTGGGCGTGCGTGCGTGGGCGTGCGCTCGTCACCGGGCCGACACGGCGAGGCTGGCGAGGGGCGTCCCACTCGTGGCCTGTGCGTGTGCGCGCCGCGCCATTACGCGCGTCACCAACGTGTCCCGCAGAGGCCGAGCCAGCGGCAGGTCCCCGCCGGTCACGCACGCGCACACCACGCCGGCCAGCAGGCACACCACCTCGTCCGTCAGCTCCGAGACGCTGCACACAACACACGGCACACGCCACCACCTCGTCCGTCAGCTCCGAGACGCTGCACACAACACACGCACACGCCACCACCTCGTCCGTCAGCTCCGAGACGCTGCACACAACACACGCACACGCCACCAACTCGTCCGTCAGCTCCGAGACGCTGCACACAACACACGGCACACGTGCACCACCTCGTCCATGAGCCGAGACGCTGCACAAACACACGGCACACGCACACCGACTCGTCCGAGGGGACAGCGGGAGGGGTGGGAGTTCTCCGTGTGCGATGCGTTGGGGTGCGGCCGCTCACCACAGGTCGTCGGTGACCCTGAGCAGCAGCGAGAGTGCGTTCCTGCGTGCCCGCGTGTGCGCCGCGTCCTCCGTCCTGCTCAGGTGCCGGTACGTTTTCGGGTCGCGCCGTTAAGGGAACTTGGCCGATACGCGGGTGGACACGTGCACGTCGCTGCACCGCACGGCAATCGCCCTGCGCCCTCGTGCAGCGAGAGAGAGAAGGGAGGACAGCGCAGAGACGCGAGGAGGAGCCACAGACGAGCACAGCCAGGCGGCGAGCCGGCACGGACAACAATTGCCCAAAGCTCTGCGGTCCTCTACGTATGAAGGTGTTATCGGCCAATTTAACGAGCGTTCACATGTGGGAGGAAACCGGAGCACACGGAGAAAACTCCCCCGCGTGCGAGGGGGAAACATGATATCCCCGTACGGACGAAAAAGGTTCGAGTCCACATTTGTGCCGCACGGCCGTCCGCACTTCTGATTAGCATGGTTGGCTACGTACGGTGCGCAGGGAGTTCAATGTACCTCCTGGCAGAGCCGGGGAACGGCTCCTCTTCCTCAACGCCCATGAGAAGGGAGTTTTGGAAGATACGGGCAGTGATCCATCAACCCTCGCTGCTGTCTCTACGGTGCTGGATCACGTACACGCGAGCGTGCATGTGTGCGCGAGTGCTTAATGTGCAGGTAGCGGGGAGCGGTGGCGCAGCGGTTAGAGCACCGCGCTACGAACCCGGCGACCCGAGTTCAAGCGCCCGGTCGCATTCAACATCGCTGAGGAATGATCTGAACCGGTCCTCTGCCTCCCTCTAGGTCGACTCAGCCTTAAAGAAGCCGTGTGTAGAATGACAGCACCCTGGAGAGACAAAGGCGGCCGAGCGTGGTTCTGGCCCCGCCTCCCCTTCACGCATCATTCTGGTCTCACAGGGTGCTCGCTTAACGGCACTTGCCCCAGTGGTCTGTACGGCGATGCAGGCACAGCGGGGAGTGGTAGTGTAGTGGTCAGCGCTACGCTTCGCTACGAACCTGGTGACCCAAGTTCGATTCCCCCTCATGGCCAACACCGGTGACGATTATCTGAACCGGTCTTGGGCCTCCCCTAAGTCAGTCGACTTAGGGGAGGCCCAAGACTGGTTCAGATAATCGTCGGCCTCAAATGAGTACCTGGTGCGGTGTGTAAACATCGCCATTGGGGAGACAAAGGCGGCCGGGCGTGGTGTTGGCCACCCACCCCCTCGTGTGCTGTGCCGGCTTTCACAGGTGCTACTCGCTAACAGCCCTTGCCCCAACAGTCTATTAAGGCTACACGGGGGATCTCTGCCTTTGTTTGTGCGCAGTGCACAGGGAGAGGATATCTCATGATGAGTTTACGGAGGAGCCCCTCGGAGGAAATGAACGTCCTGTAGGTGACGATGAACGCCTCGCAGAACACCAGGTACTCTGCAGGGACACGCGGAGACACGCGGAGAGAGCCGGGCAACGCACAAGCAACATCACGCGCCTCCGATTAGACACGGTTGGCTACGTAGGGTGCGAAAGAAGTTCAACATACTGCCCATAGACCCAACACTGCCCATAGACTCAACACTGCCCATAGACCCAACACTGCCCACAGACTCAGCACTGCACCATAGACTCAACATTGCCCACAGACTCAACACTGACCATAGACTCAACACTGCCCACAGACTCAACACTGACCATAGACTCAACACTGCCCACAGACTCAACACTGCCCATAAACACAACACTGCCCACAGACTCAACATGATTACGATTGTTTAAAAACTAATATACATTTCAATCGTATTATACATTACTGTTATTATTAATAAATTCTTATTATTTGTCACATTTATTCATTTTCATTCCTTAGACATATCAATCGGCCTAAGGTCACTTTACCTCCTGACCTGGGGTGCTCTGTGCACCTTGTGCCCGTCAGTAATTGGGCTCTGTCCTTTGTCCTCTGGCGATGTGCACGTTGTACGTACGCTGAACTTCTATCGCACCGCACGGAGCCAACCGTGCAAGTCGGAGGGCAGCGCAGCAAAATGCAATGTTGTACTGCACTTCTACGCTATGAAGCAACGATGGAGTTTTTGCACCGCTCTCTGCTGCCCGCCCCGTAATCCCCCACCCCCCTCGCCCCGCCGAGACCTTCCCACTCCTGCCCGTTCCCCATAACTGCTCAGGAAGGTATCTACGATGCACAATGCTGCTACGTTCACTTGAACGTCGCCGGATGGAGTGGACGGGTCAGCGCTACGTATGGCGCAAAAGGAATTCAACGTACATCCTCATACAGCAGCAACAGCAGCAGCAGCAGAGCCTAGCCGGGTCGTCGCAAGCGCTGAGCCCCTCCCCCTGACCCATCTCCCCGCACTCTCTCCCAGTCGGTCTCCCAGACGCTCCCTCCTGCACCAAGCCCCCGAGCTGGGCCGCTGCCGAGTCGGGGCCGCTGCCGAGTCGGCGACGCGCCCCGCCACGTCCGATTCACATCCCAGGGCCGGCTGCCGTGACTCGCTGAGGCGTAGACACCCACGGTCGGGCCACTGCCTTTCCCAATCCGCAATTCGCGAGCCGCTGCAGTGGCCTGCTGCGCGTGGCGGCGGTCGCCCGTCCACCCGCTGTCCCCGACTCAGGCCCGCGTAGCTTTCAAGATGCGCCGTGGCACTTGGGCCACCAGGCATCTGTGAGAAAGTGCTTTATAGCTCATCGGATTCCACCTCCGGTATAAAGCTGCTCATTCTGACTCTCCAGCGAAGGTTAAACCAACCGCCGTCTCTTCCCACGAGCGATCGCTCGCTGGAATCCGCCGCGTCAGAATATCGAGAGAGCGACGCTTGATCCGAGACGCGGCGGGCTGGGTGGCGGGGGTTGGCGTACGTTTTTTATCGGCCATGGTCGCGTGGACGATGAGGATGTCTTGGGAACCCCCCTTGAGGTCGGGTCCACTATCAACCTGCCGAGAGGAGGCAAGGGGTGGGCCGGTCCATTGGAGGAGGAGAGTTAGGGGGCTCGCGAGCAGTCGCACACCACGCACGCGCACGCACACACACACCGCTACGTGTGCGTGTCTGCTATTCCCATCGTTCAGCTCGTTTACTCAAGGGAGAGCCTCATCGAGTCTCAAGACTCCTTCTTTTAGGAGGGTCCTGCCAAGTTCGTCGCAGGAGTGGCCGACGTTGCTGCTGCTGCTGCTGCTGTGTATACTCCCCATTGAGCAATGTGCACTCAATGTTTCAGTACTGGTGTGTTTGGTCAATACCAGTGATATTATGATGGGGTTTTTTTGGCTAAGGGCAGAATACCAGAGGAGAACCCCATTGCAGCACAGGCGGAGAACCAACAAACTCCCCACAGGAAGATGCCCCGACCACGAATCGAACCCAGGGCCCTTCTTGCTGCGAGACTCAAATGTAACCACCCTGCCGCCCAATCTCTACGTCTGCATCGACGTCTTTCGCGCAGCACGTGGCCAACGGTGCCAATATAGCCACAGACAGAGCAGAACATCACTCCCCTGGGTTTGACGTCACGTTGGCTACGTACGGTGCGAAAGAAGTTCGACGTAGAGACGTACGAGCGCACATCACAAACACGCACGAGGCCTGTGGTGACTACGAACGTCACGTTGGTCAGCGGCACTGCCTCGTACAAAGCGGCCGACGTTTTGGTCGAGCTGGCGGCAGACGTGCCGCCATTGCGTGCCGATTTTTTTCAAATCTGCATTTGATTTTACGCGCTTCGACGAAGGGCCATTGCACGAAACGTCGCCTGTTATGTTTATAAATTTTACCTTAAGGTCACAGAGTTAATGGCGAATGTTGCGAGTTTGTTTTTTTCTCATTGTGAAATTGCGCTTTGTGCGCCACAGCCAAAACAGAAGCAGCAGCAGCAGCATGACGTCGCAATCAAAATATAGTCGTCGCTGTTCTCCTATAATGCGGTGGTAGTTGTTGCATTCCTGAAGAACACCGTGTTGCGGAGAAAATCGCGTTATAATAAAGAATATAGACTATGGGCTAAAGCACAGTCCGCGATAACCCCGTGAGATGCGTACACAGGCTGAACAAAGACTGAGGGCACGTGGGTAGCATCTGGAAGCATCCAGCAGCATCCCGTTGCCTTGTGTGATGCTACGCCGAGGCAGCCGTATGACCGCTTATTCCTACTCGCGCGCGACGTAGGAATAAGCGGTCCAATTCATATCCGCGTTACAAAAAATGTGTTCCCTTAAACATTCATCATCGCTTTACATCCAATTCACGTTATGAAAACACGCGGCGCTGTAGGAGAACAGACCGAATGCACGACAGATAGAAATCTCTGCTGGTTCAAAATTTTTACAGATGCTCATCATTAATTTTCAACCCATTTTCTCAATCGACTGCTGCACGGTCTTGCCAACGCCACGTGGGTCATGGAGGTTTTTTTGTCCTCACTGTAAATCAACCACGCTGGTCAGTGCTGGTCAGTGCAGGTTGGTGAAGGACGGAGCTCTGGACGGGATCAGATGTCACTCCCCACCGAGTTTAACGGTGGCAGGCGAATTTGAACCCGGGTCACTGGGTTCATAGTGCAATGCGCTAACCACTGTACCACCGCTTCACCTATTGTATTGGTCCACGTGATGTTAGTGCTTTTAGTAACGGTTTTTGTTTCACTGTAAGGTTCTACATTTATTTGTTTATTTTTAATAAAAACATTCTTATTTAAGGGAACCCTGAGGGGTGGCGCCCACCGCCTACGCCCCCGTGCAGCGCCACCGCCGGCTCCACTGGTGGAGCGACGTTGCTACGAGGGCGACGTCACCTGGCTCTTCAGCACCAGCCTCCTGATGATCTCTTGGTAGTCAACGAGGAAGAGTTCTTCTTGTTCCCTGCACACATCGGCAACCATCAGCACCATCAGCACCATCATCACCATCATCATCATTCAGCACCAAAGACAACGATCCCCTGTATAGCCTTAACAGACCGTTGGGGCAATTGCTATTAGCGAGTAGCACCTGTGAAGGCCGGCACGGCACACGAGGCGGTGGGTGGCCAGCAGCACGCCTGGCCGCCTTTGTCTCCCCAGTGGCGATGTTTACACACCGCACCATGCAGTCACTTGTGTGTGCTGTACGAGTGCCACGTGTGCTGTGCGTGTGCTGCGTGTGTGCTGTACGAGTGCCACGTGTGCCGTGCGTGTGCTGCGTGTGTGCTGTACGAGTGCCACGTGTGCCGTGCGTGTGCTGCGTGTGTGCTGTACGAGTGCCACGTGTGCCGTGCGTGTGCTGCGTGCGTGCCGTGCGCGCGTTGCTCACGAGCAGGGCGTGGCGACGGACGGGCTCGCTCCGCCCATCGTGGGCACGCCGTCTCCTGCGGGACTCCTGCTCGTCGCGCTCGGCGCCGCGTCCACCCCAGGGGCCTCCTCGACAGCCTCCCCCTGCCCGTCGCCCGCGGGCGCCACGGGCGTCTCGTCGACGACGACGACCGCCGGTAGATCGCCGGGTAAGCGATCGCCGCCGCCGAGGCCGCCTTCTCGGCCGCCGCTCGGCGAGACGGGCCCGGCCCCGGCGTCCGACGTGGCCTCGCCGCTCGCGGCCGAGGGACCCGGCCGACCGTCGGCGTGCGAGCCGGAGGGGGAATCGTTTCGCTCGCCGGGGGAGGACGGCGCGTGGGGAGCGCCGCCAACGGCGCGGGGGGCCCTCTCGTGGACCGGCGGAGGGGCCGCACGGGCGTCGCCGACGGTCGCTTGGATGTCCTGGATGTCGGGCATGAGGCGGTAGTCGATGGGTCTCATGGCGATGAACGACGTGGCGTCGGGAGTCTTGTAATCCCGACACATCTGTATGTAGGTCTGCACGTGGGCTGCACACGAACGCGCGCACACAACGGATACGCGCTCACCCTTCGTTTAATGAGGGCAGACGGGGTGCGCCGACCCGCTGCTCACAGGAGACGATCGCGGCTGAGCTCGCAGAGTGGCGGCCTCAGTGTTTGTGTTTTACCCATTGGCCATGAGGGCCGTGTTACAGCATGGCACGCAGGCTTACGCGAGAATGGATCATTTATTGGAAACCTGAAGCGCAACTAGAATGCATTTCACAGAGTAGAATGAAAGAGAACGCTGTTCAGGCACTCGCCCCGTCTCCCGTGAGTGTTAGTTTAGTTTAGTTTTAATCGCATCTCGATATTTTGATTATTTTCTTCTCGGTGTTACTTCAATTGTGCTCTGGAGTCAAGAAGATTCCCGGTCATCCATAATTCCTCCAGGGCAGGGAACCCCCCCCCCCCCCCCCGCATTAGAAAATTTAAAAAACCCAAAGAAGAAGTGGCATTGCACAAAACGTCACCTATTTTATTCCTTTTAAGGCCACAGTGCCAATGACGAATGTGCACATTTTGTCTTTTATAAACCCTCTCCCGTTCTGATGACGACGCACGCGGTACACGTGTACCATGTACAATTCCCTTCCGTTGATGTACGTAATCGGAACGGAATCGTCAGATAGACAACAATAAAATCACTTTATCGGTACCGAGGCTCCCACAAGGCCATGCGGGAGGGTGTGTGGCATAGTTTGGCGCCCGCCATCGTAGAATGCGGTCGTGTCGCTACAGTTCTCTGCGGTGATTGCAATGTCTTTTTAAAACAACGGCGCTAAAACGCCTCTAGAAATGAACTCCACGCTGAACCGCTTGTGCGTTATGAAATTCAGCGGTCAACGGGACACCCACCTGCAACAGACGTCTCGGAAGGAGGAAGTGGTTCATTGTGTTTGTGCACCACTGTCAACGCCAATGTCAGCCGACTTCAGAATTTTCGTGGCTTTACCGAAAGAACCAAAGAGTATGGATTCCTGCAGTCACGAAAACTTAAAATCACTAATAACACTTGCCCCAACAGTCTGTCCAGGCTATACGGGGCATCTTTGTCTTTGTGTGAACACAACCCACGTCCGCTCCATTTCCCTTTCACCTTTTTTTTCTGGCAGCGGTGGCGGGGACGCTTCGCCGATGACATCACTTCCTGTCCCGTGCCCGGAGTTGGCGGCGGAGATTGAAAGGAGGTCGAAGGCCATCAGCTCACTCGGAGTCGGCAAGGGAGTCACGTCTGCGCACGCACACACGGATCCACGTGTACCCACGCCAGCACACACGTGCGTACATACACACCAAGACAAAGTTTCCCCCGGTCGCATTCATAGACTGTTGGGGTAAGTGCCATTAGTGAGCACCCATCACACCAGCACGCGGTGCTGGCATGACCAGCACCGCGCCCAGTATCATTTTTATCCGCATTCAGTAGAGATGTTTACGTGGCCCAGGACCGAATCGGTTATTTGGCACCGACGTTGGCCGTGAGCGAGAATCTACCTCGGATCGGCGGGTTCGAAGCGTGGTGCGCTAACTGCTAAACTACCGCTCCCACACAAAGACCCCCAGTATCGCCTGTTAAGGCCAGTGCTGTTTGCGAGTAGCATCTATGAAGGCTAGCATGGCATACGAGGGGGTGGGTGGCCAACACCACGCCCGGCCGCCTTTGTCTCCCCAGTGACGATGTTTACACACTGTATCAGGTACTCGCTTGAGGCCGAGTCGACCTAGGGGAGGCCCACGACCGGTTTAGATAATCGTCACTGGTGTTGGCCGTGAGCGGGAATTAACTCGGATTGCTGGTTTCGTAGTGCGGCACGCTCACTGCTACACTCCTGCTCCCCACACCAATACCAACACCCGCCATTCGCTGCTAAGAGATGGTGATGTCACCACGGTGCCTGTGCCAGGCCAGGTGCACTTTGAGGCCACGTGCAGTGTCGAAGGCTCGCTTACAGGAAGTCATTGGACAGACCCAGGTGCCACGGGCTGGCTGACTAAGATGACTGGTAGATGCACCAGCTGTACTCCCTACTGTGCCATTTTAGCCGCCCGTTGTTGTTGGAGGGTGACTGCCTACAACTGTTCATTAGCGTCCATCACGAGCCTCCTCCACAGAGGCCGATCTTGACACCGCTGGTACCAGTTTTTGGCAAGTCCACTCAGCTCCACGTCCTCCTGTACCGCATCACTCCATCTCTTCTCCAGCTCATGTCGCGCCCATTTAGCCCCCTCTATCCGGCCAAACAGAAGCTGTTTGGGCATGTGGTGGCTAGGCATGCTGGCTGCATACCCCAGCCAACGTAGCCTCGCCTGCCGGACGAGCTCACCAATGTGAATATGTCCCCAAACACACGCACACATGCGCACCTCCAAGGAAAGTTTCCCTGTTCTCGCCGTTCCTCACCGATCCTCCGGGCGTGCGCCAGGACTTTGCCGGGAGCATCGGGGGGCTGCAAATCACAAACGACAAATGGCGTACATGAGATCAACAACAAAAAACTATTGCAATGTATTTTGATGTTTGTTCGTTACACGAGTAAACGCGTGTTGGCTCGTGAAAGCCTCAGCAAGAGTCTGAAGACCCATTCTCAGGAGGGTCCTGCACAGTTTTCACAGGAGGGGGGAGCTGCTGCTTCTGTTTGCGAACCAAATTAAGCAATCGGTTTGTAATTTGTCAGCATTGGGATGTTTGGCCAATACCGGTGACGTTGTTGTTGTTTTTCTTTTGTGTCGTATCTCAAGACGCATCTCAGGGCAGGAGGGTTGTGGTGGGTGGGGTCACAAGGCAGGGGAACGAGGGAGAGAGAAATAGAGCAACACACCCATGCAGCCCATAGCACCACACAGCCCGCACCACCACACAGCCCGCACCACCACACAGCCCATACTGCAACACAGCCCGCACCACCACACAGCCCGCACCACCACACAGCCCGCACCACCACACAGCCCACACCACCACACAGCCCGCACCACCACACAGCCCACACCACCACACAACCCGCACCACCACACAGCCCGCACCACCACACAGCCCACACCACCACACAGCCCGCACCACCACACAACCCGCACCACCACACAGCCCGCACCACCACACAACCCGCACCACCACACAGCCCGCACCACCACACAACCCGCACCACCACACAGCCCGCACCACCACACAGCCCACACCACCACACAGCCCACACCACCACACAGCCCGCACCACCACACAGCCCGCACCACCACACAGCCCGCACCACCACACAGCCCGCACCACCACACAGCCCGCACCACCACACAGCCCCCACCACCACACAGCCCGCACCACCACACAGCCCGCACCACCACACAGCCCGCACCACCACACAGCCCGCACCACCACACAGCCCGCACCACCACACAGCCCGCACCACCACACAACCCGCACCACCACACAACCCGCACCACCACACAGCCCGCACAGCCACACAACCCGCACCACCACACAGCCCGCACAGCCACACAACCCGCACCACCACACAGCCCACACCACCACACAGCCCGCACAGCCACACAACCCGCACCACCACACAGCCCACACCACCACACAGCCCACACCACCACACAACCCACACCACCACACAGCCCGCACAGCCACACAGCCCGCACCACCACACAGCTGCACCGTGACACAGCCCGCACCACCACACAGCTGCACCGTGACACAGCCCGCACCGTCACACAGCCCGCACCACCACACAGCCCGCACCACCACACAGCCCGCACCACCACACAGCTGCACCGTGACACAGCCCGCACCACCACACACACAACCCGCACCACCACACAGCCCGCACCACCACACAGCCCGCACCACCACACAGCTGCACCGTGACACAGCCCGCACCACCACAGAGCCCGCACCACCACACAGCCCGCACAGCCACACAGCCCGCACAGCCACACAGCCCGCACCACCACACAGCCCGTACCGCCACGCAGCCCGCACCGTGACACAGCCCAAGACGAAGCAACCGGGGCCGAGGGCAACACCACCACCAACAACGACGACGACGAGCCCCATGGGCAGTCAAGGAGCACCAGCACATCGCAAGGCCCCCACAGGGCCCTGGTGCCCTCGAGCAGCTGGTACGAAGGCGGTGGTGCGATGTGTATTTGGAGTGCGCATGTTGTCCCTGCGGTTGCGTGGATTCTTCTCCGGGTCCTCCGGTTTGTCCCTCCACATTTAGAAACATGTGTTTGGCTGATGTAAATGTCCGCATGATAAGCCACTTTGCTGGACTATCATTTGTGGCCAGGCCACTTTTGAAACAGAGCCGTATAGCTCAGTGCGTCTTATCTGGTCAAATAAGAATAGGAGTTTGCTCACTTTGTAATCGTTCAATCCTTTGAAGCCCTTCATCTTTTATGTGCAACACAGAAGGAGGTGAATTCTATGGGCTGCCCCGCAGCTTTGACTTGCCACGCACTTTCGGAACAGGGGAACAATACTTTACCACCGTCATCTGTAACTCACGTTGCCTGCCTCATAACTGAAAGACACGTCAAGTAATCTCAACGTGCTGTGAAGCTGCGGTCACAGACATCAGCATTTTACACAGGAGACATACATCACTTTCTGCCCATGGTCATGTGCTTCCCATGATGCAATGCACAGCAGCATAGGAATTTCGATTTAAAGCTTTCGTGACTGCAGGGATTCATCTTCTTGGTTCTTTCCTTTCTACGTGACTTTACCGAAAGAACCAAGAAGAAGCAGCATAGGAAGTTAACGCAGATGTGTTTTTTTATTATTATTTTATTTTGTATGCAAATCTAAAATCTTTATTATCCTCCAGGTGTTTATAAACGTTGCTTCGTAGCGAGTACTGTCATTATGCGACCGTGTCTGTGGTTTTTGTTATCTCATCCTTTAGACGAATCGCGAATTCCCGCCGCGCGACCTGTAGGTGTTGAGGAAGGTGAGGCCAGGCGGACGGGGCGGCTTGGGCGGGGCTGTGATGTCATCGTTCGATCGACCAATCCGCCGCCCTGACTCGGTGGCCAGCCAATCGATGAGCTCCTGAGCGCAAGACAGGGGCAGAGGAACGTCGCAAGCCGGTGGCGATTCTTCGATGAACAAATTGGTCATCACTGTCACAGTGCACGCCTTGCACCGTGCGCGCCTGCGAGCATCGGTTATTCGCGGTTTATTCACAATGTGGCTTTAGACGGACGCGATGAAAAAGCGCAAATAATACGGCGCAAATGAGACGGAAAAAATCAAACAAAACTAAAATACAGTGGTCCCGCGGTTTACGATGCCATCAATGAACGATTTTCCGATTAATGATCCGCCTCCCATAGGGTCCCTTTGTTTCTTTTAACAATACATATTCGATTGACGATATGTTTACAATATCACGCAGCCGCACATTTTGGCCAATCAGCAGCAGGCCTCAGTGGTGACGTCAGTGGTGACGTCAGTGGTGACGTCCTTTTATAAGTGTTTTGAGAGCTTTTCAATGTTTGAAGTTCCGTTGCTCATGGAAACAGCTCTCTTGAATACTTGGTGGTTTTTAACTTAAAAGTTTAACGAGATCAATGGCAATGGCCCTTAAAATGAATGTGAGAATTTTTTAATTATGCTCTGTTTTTGCCCCTTTTTATATTATATTAATTATTTATCCATGTTTCGATTAATATGAATACTTTAATATGTTCTTAAAATGGTTATTCATTAAAATTGCGTGTTTATTATACATCATGTTTTATAGTCAAAAAAAGGTCAACTTCCGATCATCTTGGAACAAATTAAGCATTTAACTTGTATTTCCTCTATTCGATTAACGATAATTTCAATTAACGACAGTTTTCGTGGACCATTGTTGCAACATATTCTTGAAAGGAATGTTGACCCAATGTCGCCTTCACCCGAGCGGACGTCTAACAGCTCTCACATGACGACGACGACACCACCGTGGACCCAGCACCGGTGCAACGGAGCGGTCGCTCGTCCTGTGAGCGTCGCCGGCACCGTTGCCAGAGCTTATTCTCTAGCCCCATTAGGCCCAAACCACCCTCCGATTAACACGGTTGGCTAAGAAAGAACTTCAACAGTCATACGTCTGAAGGTGCTGTGTTATGGAGAAGGGGCATTTGCCTGAAACGTCGCCTATTATACGCACACGCCCAGAGTGCTAATGGGACACTTAACGAAGCTCATGGCCCGCCCTAAACCGCATCCGCACAAACCATGGCAGATGCAGATACCTGATGGACAAATCGAAAATTAAAAACGCTCCAGTAGCGTGCGACTGTGGCCATCCAGAACAGACCGTGCAACGTGTAACGACGCAATGCCGGTCCACAAACACGACGGAGACGTCGCAGCGATACACTCACTACCACTGCTTCTCACGCGGTGATCTGGGCTTGCCCACCTGGATGTTAAATTGTGGTTGTAGCTCTGCATCTACATCAGCAGCCGTATGAAAGACGAAAAAGAAGACTTAACTAAATTCATAATGACAGTAAACAACAGTGGCCATTCAGAGAGAATCAAGTGATCTTTAATGACTGCAATGTAACACCAACGACGTCTTCAGTAGCCTTCATCACTAATTCTTCACAGCGCTAATCCCCAAAACACTCATGAGCTCACACTACCAACCAATTAACACTCAACTAGAATGTATGTTGAACTTCTTTCGCACCGTACGTAGCCAACCGTGTTAATCGGAGGTGCGGGAAGGGGTCGTTGCTGCCTCACCTCTTAGGGCTGCGTGTTGTTGACGAGCGTGTTGTGTTTGTCTTTGCCGTTCGTGCTCGTGCACCACTGGCGGCAGCATCGCTAAATATTTGTTCCGCTCCGGTCTGTAGCTCGACATATTTCTTCACGCAGTCATCCAAGATGGAGGTGATAGCGTAAAAGCCTAATTTCAATCAGGCTTGCAGTGGGTAACCATTGCAACCCGTCACGTGTGCCTGCAAGCCGGTCCAGGTTATTGCAATGCCACGCACGCAATACCAACCTCAAAGACGAATTCCGGCCGAGCGAGGTTGGAACTACCGTTGGTCCCGGTGCGGCGGAAGCCTCGCGTGGGTGGCCACTTTGGGCCATGGTGCGAGAATGGAAATGTGGCCACCAGTCCAACGTCACCCCCTTCTAGCCGTAGCCCCACGGGGCCGGTGGGACCCGGGGCAGTTGTACCGCCTGTGCTCTCAAGAGCTATGCAACCGGCCCTGAGTGAGATGGGGCCCGGCGAGGTGGTGGAGGCGGTGCGTGGCGTCACCTGCGTGGCGGCGTTGAGGTCGGCGGCGAGCTGCTGCAAGGCCGTGTCGACGCTGGTGAAGGCTCGGCTCGTCAGGGCGTGCTGGTCGGCCCAGTGCAGGAGACGGGCGAGCGCAGAGCACACCGCGGCCTCCTGCACACTTCACGGCGACACACACAGCGTGAACACACCACTCTGCTGCACTCTTCACAGAGACAGCGTGAACACACCACTCTGCTGCACACTTCACAGACACATCATGAACACACCACTCTGCTGCACACTTCACACACACAGCGTGAACACACCACTCTGCTGCACACTTCACACACAGCGTGAACACACCACTCTGCTGTACACTTCACACACACAGCGTGAACACACCACTCTGCTGCACACTTCACACACACAGCGTGAACACACCACTCTGCTGCACACTTCACACACACAGCGTGAACACACCACTCTGCTGCACACTTCACACACACAGCGTGAACACACCACTCTCCTGCACACTTCACACACACAGTGTGAACACACCACTCTGCTGCACACTTCACACACACAGCGTGAACACACCACTCTCCTGCACACTTCACACACACAGTGTGAACACACCACTCTGCTGCACACTTCACACACACAGCGTGAACACATCACTCTGCTGCACACTTCACACACACAGCGTGAACACACCACTCTGCTGCACACTTCACACACACAGCGTGAACACACCACTCTGCTGCACACTTCACAGTGACACACACAGCGTGAACACACCACTCTGCTGCACACTTCACGGCGTGACACACACAGCGTGAACACACCACTCTGCTGCACACTTCACAGAGACAGCGTGAACACACCACTCTGCTGCACTCTTCACACACACAGCGTGAACATACCACTCTGCTGCAAACTTCACAGTGACACACACAGCGTGAACACACCACTCTGCTGCACTCTTCACACACACAGCGTGAACACACCACTCTGCTGCACACTTCAGTGACACACACAGCATGAACACACCACTCTCCTGCACACTTCACAGAGACACACACAGCGTGAACACACCACTCTCCTGCACATTTCACAGAGACACACACAGCGTGAACACACCACTCTGCTGCACACTTCACGGCGACACACACAGCGTGAACACACCACTCTGCTGCACTCTTCACATAGACATACACAGCGTGATCACACCACTCTGCTGCACACATCACAGACACAGCTTGAACACACCACTCTGATGCACACTTTACGGCGACACACACAGCATGAACACACCACTCTGCTGCACCTTCACACACACAGCGTGAACACACCACTCTGCTGCACACGTCACAGTGACACACACAGCGTGAACACACCACTCTCCTGCACACTTCACAGAGACACACACAGCGTAAACACACCATTCTGCTGCACACTTCACAGAGACACACAGCGTGAACACACCACTCTGCTGCACACTTCACAGAGACACACACACCACTCTCCTGCACACTTCACAGAGACACACACAACGTGAACACACCACTCTGCTGCACCCTTCACAGAGACACACACACCACTCTGCTGCACACTTCACAGAGACACACACAGCGTGAACACACCACTCTGCTGCACACTTCACAGAGACACACACAGCGTGAACCCACCACTCTCCTGCACACTTCATGGAGACACACACAGCGTGAACACAACACTCTGCTGCACACTTCACACACACAGCGTGAACACACCACTCTGCTGCACACTTCACAGTCATAAACACCATGGATCCTCCACTCATTGTTTATGAAATTTGTACCAGATTCTATTATCAAATGCACAACTTTGGAAACCATAATTGGGCCCTAAACCGGTTAATCATTTACGACTATAATGAGCCAATAATGTCTGTGTGTCCCGCGTGTGACGTCACTCCACGTCGACCAGCCCCCCTCATTAATAACCATGAGCGGGTGACGTCACTCCACATCAAACAGCCCCCCTCATTAATAATCATGAACAGGTGACGTCCCACAAGTGGACTCCCCCCTCATTAATAACCATGAGCGGATGAAGTCACTCCACATGGGGGGTCGAGGCGCCTCCTCCCCCCCCCCTCAGCGTCAACTTACAACCCTCACTACAAAGGCAGAACCCTCACGTCACACGATCTCCATAACGCTGTTGCAAATCTGTAGTCGTACCGTTACACACACAGAGATAGACAACGGTACGAAGACCCCCCGTGTAGCCTTAACAGACTGTTGGGGCAAGTGCTGTTCGCAAGCACCTACATAGGCCGGCACGGCACACGATGGGGTTGGTGAGCAGCACCACGTCCGGCCATCTTTGGTTCCCCCAATGGCGATGTTCACACATTACATCAGGTACTCATTTGAGGCTGAGTCAACCTAGGGGAGGCCTAGGACTGGCCGGTGTTATCCGTGAGCGAGAATCGAAACCGGGTGGCCGGGTTCATAGCGCAGCGCGCTCACCGCTACACCACCGCTGGCCGTGTTACACGCGCGGGTGTGCACGAGTGCGCACGAGTGCGCACGCTTCCCCGCCACGTGGCAAATGGCACGGATGACTCTCGCCCTTTGGAATGAAGATAACAGAGACGTCCCAGATGTCTCGCTTTGTTGGTGGCACAGCTTGAGTAGCCCCAACGCCTTGAGATGCCCACAGAACAGCGAATAATGCGATGGCCATTTGATATGAGCGGGGCTATTGAGTAATTCACGCGAATTGGCTGTGGAAGTAAATCTGTACGACTAAAGTTCTGATGCTCAAGGTGCTAACTAACGGTTTCTGGTCTGGCACCATGGACCCTAACAAATTGAACACATTTGGTAATAAAACTGTCGCCTTAAAGAAAAAAACGGGCGATGCTTTGAATAATGACCCTCCGTCTTCACGGCACGTAGACAGGCCACAGAGCCAGAGTGGTCGTGAGGTTATGCGCTTTGATAAAGGTCCGTTGCTCGAAACGTCGCCCGTTCATACCGGAAACTAAAAGTAAACAATGTTTTGTATTTTGCCAGGTAAGACACATTGAGCTACGTGGATCTTTTTCAGAAGTGACGTGGCCACAAATGGTGGCTTGCACTAAGTGGCTTATCACGTGGATATGTATAGCAGCCAAACACTCTAAACACGTGATGATGTTGATTCTAAATGTGGAGGGAAAAAGCGGAAGACCCGGAGAAAAATCCACGCGACCACGGGAAGAGAGACACGCAAACTCCAAGTATACAACAGGCATGAGGGTCGGCATCGAACCCACGACCTCCTGTATACCTAGCGTGGTAGTTAACATCTCCTAACCACCGTGATAATGATGATGAGAGAGACACGCAAACTCCAAATATACAGCAGCAGGCGTCAGGGTCGGGATCGAACCCACGACCTCCTGTATACCTAGCGTGGTAGTTAACATCTCCTAACCACCGTGATAATGATGATGAGAGAGACACGCAAACTCCAAATATACAGCAGCAGGCATCAGGGTCGGCATCGAACCCACGACCTCCTGTATACCTGGCGTGGTAGTTAACATCTCCTAACCACCGTGATGATGATGATGAGAGAGACACGCAAACTCCAAATATACAGCAGCAGGCGTCAGGGTCGGGATCGAACCCACGACCTCCTGTATACCTGGCGAGGTAGTTAACATCTCCTAGCCACCGTGATGATGATGATGATGAGAGAGACACACAAACTCCAAATATACAGCAGCAGCAGGCGTCAGGGTCGGGATCGAACCTACGACCTCCTGTATACCTGGCGAGGTAGTTAACATCTCCCCATCGTGGCGCCCCGATGCTCGCTACATATTTTTCCCATCAAAGGCCGCACGCAGTGTTCGTGACAAATGTGTTGCGTTTTGTTTTCGTTGTGCTCGTGCGCCACCGCCGGCGCAGTTTCGCCACGTAACAATTTGTTCTGCGGACTGTGGTGCTGGGGAGCAGAGTGGGCGCGTCCCCTCGTGTCTGCGGGGACAAACCGACTCCGGTGGAGCGAGCGGCACCACCCCCCCCTCCTTTCCCCCCTTTAACCGCAGCGCCCACAGAGGTGTGCAAGGAATGCAGCCCGGACAGCCCCCGGCTCCTAACTGTAGTTTTGCAAAACAACTAGGAACCAACAGCTGAAACGCATTCGTCAATAACACGGCGTGGCCTTAGAAAGGAACATTTTTATATAAACGGGGCGACGTTCCGGGCCCGCAATGGCCCTTCTCCACGGCACACGTGCCTCTTCATGCGCCCATGCACCACTGGTAACGCAGTGGCATCCGCAGCATCAGTGGCATCAGCAGCATCAGCAGCATCAGTGGCATCAGCAGCATCAGAGTAACCGAATCCCTCTGTCTGGTTCTTGTAGTGGCCGGTAAACAATTCACGAGCACCGACACGGCCACTCCGCACGCTCGAGTCCGTGAGGGCTTTGTGAGAAGTCTGCGAACTCTACGAGAGGTCTAAGAACTCTGTGAGAACTCTGTGAGAACTCTGTGAGAAGTCTTTTGGAACTCTGTGAGAAGTCTGTTAGAGGTCTACGAACTCTGTGAGAACTCTGTGCAAGATAACACACACAGATTTACAGCTCCCCTCAAACATTTATTACCATGATTTGACGCTTTCGTGACTGCAGGAATCCATACTCTTTGGTTCTTTCGGTAAAGTCACGTGGGTAGAAATAAAATAAAATAAACCACGACCTGATGACGGACGCTTGTGTCGCGCCCAAAACGTCGTGATTTATTTAATTTTATACCTACGTGACTTTGACTGTTTACTCATTACTATTCCTGTTATGAGATATTTAATGACAGGGATTAACCATTGTTTGATGATAGTTACCCTAAGTAACACGATTTTTCTCCCTGAGTACTAAGTGCTACTTTTAAATTGTTACATAAAAAATGGATATTACTCCCCACAAACTTTAGCGACCACGTCGTTGTGTGAGGGAGTGACACTTATGCTCACCACGTTTTCTCTTCGAAAATAGGTACATTTTTAAATATCACTGTCCTGCTCACAAAGAACAAGTTTGAGGGGAAGAAGAGCCTTGTTCTGTACTCTTGATGCATACGCAGCCACGCAATATCACTTACTGCACAGGGGTAAACCAATAAATATACTCATTGCTATT